CGTGTCCTGAAGGGCAAGTCAACCAGCGTGGGTGCATCTGTCGGTGCCGTTGCAGGCCGGGGCATCACTAGCAGTGTGGAGTAGATCGCGGTGTAAGATTCTAAGAGGGTGGCTGACTCAATACCTCGCATGGAGTTGCTGGCATTAGGGGTCTCAGCATGCAGCAATACTGTGTCATGCGAAGCATTTTACGTGGAAGCCTGTGTGAGTTAGGTCTGGTGGTCATCACACCCGCAGCCGGCTTTGTGACACCTGGCTGGAGCATTGCCATTGGTGCCTTGGGCGCTCCTTGGTGCTACCTCACTGTGGAGGCGGTGAACAGGATCAACCTGGTGGATGACACTCTTGACGCCTTCGGCTTGCATGGCTCTGGTGGCTTTGCCGGTGCCATCTTGACGGGCATTTTTGCAGTTGACGAAGGCCTCATCTACAGTGGTAGCTTCGTGCTGTTAGGCAAGCAGATTGCCGGTGCACTGGCTGGTGTGGCTTTCTCTGCTGTGGGCACTGCCATCATCATGGGAGTCATGAAGCTGCTCTTCAAGCTTCGAATTCCAGAAGAGCACGAGATTGGTGGTGTTGACGAGCACACTCACGGTGAGAGCTACCACAGCCCAATTAAGAAGTATTCCGCAGGTGGCCGCATGACTGAGTCGGAAACATCAAAGGAGTCCGACGCTGTCTGATGAGCTTGGAAAACATCTGCAACTTGCATTGAAAGCAGTGCTGCGATGTCAGATATCTGTTGTGTAATTTGTTGCACTGTCCTCAATGGACACGCTTATTTGACGTGACAGAAGCGATGAGTGCTTCTTCTTTCGTCCGTTTTGGTTGGAGACCGTGCGGAAGGCACCGGCAGAGGGCCAACTGATCAGCGAATGCGGAGCAAGCTGGCCATGGCGACCAAAACTTGATGCCGAGGCGCAGGAGTCAGTGGTTTCGCTTATGCCTTATGAATGCACTTGGTTGCTACTCTTGGCTCTTGACATGTTGGGCATGATCGAGCTTGCTACGTTCTAGGATCCCTTTGATCTCACCGACTGCGAAACGAGCCCCAGTGAGTCTCGAAACTCCGATCTTTGCCAGGCAGGGCGGTGGGGCAAGCGACTGAGCGACTGTCTGGCTCATTTTCTGGCGGGGTCTTCGAATGAGGGGGAGGTCCCTCAAACGCGGTCCTTTTCAATCCTCTAGGCTTCTTCACCGACTAGGCTACAGACTGTCAAGGCCAACCCCGCTTCTTTGAAGGCCCCCCCGTTTGAGGTAGGCAGTTTATCAATCAGGATTGACGAGGTCTCAAATCAGCCTTTTGAGGCTGGACAAGCAAAGCGGCGAAGTGCTGTGGACGTCCGGTACGGGCCTGGACCCCTCACCTGCGCCTGAGAACAGGGTTCGGGGTTTCGGGCCGCGTGCGCGTAGTAGGGCCCGAAACCGTCCCTTAACATGAACTACTGAAGCTGACATGTGGGATATAGCTTTCGAAAGCTTATATTGTATGCTTATTTTGGCTCCTACTTTCGGCCGCTGGGTGTTGCGAGGGTTGGGATGTGGGCTGAGGAGTTAGGACGGCTTTTGCGGCCAACTTCGGAGCTTGCTCCTCCTGGATCTACCATGGAGGCTCTGCAACGGGGCGTAGGGGTTTGTAAGCTTCGGCCACAGGCCTGAATAATGTAGAAGCCTGAATTCTTAGCAAAAAAATTCCTGAGGGTCCCTTATTCTGATTCTGCTGATTCTGGCATAGTAGACCCCAAGACACATTGTTCCAATTATGAAGGCTCCTATAATTCTGGTTTATGGTATACTAGACCCCAAGACACGATTCTCATTATTCAGGCTCCTATATTATGCTGGCAGCGGCTTTATTTTGGGCAGGGGCCTGCCAATTGACGTCTTACGGCGGAAGAGACGTGCTTGAGCTGAAAGCCTGAGCCCCATTCAGCCCTTCATCCTCAGTAGCAGCAGCAATAGTTAGCAATAGTGGTGGTGATAGTAAGAGGAAGACGAAGAGGAAGAGTAAGAGCAAGAGTAAGAGTACGAGTAATAACTTAGATCCAGTTTTTCGCAGCATTCTTGCGAAAAAATGAAGTTTCAGTCAGCTTGAAATTATTCGCGATCGAGGAACCACCGGAGTTTCCTTTCCACCAGGACTCCGTGTCCAACGTGGCTGCAGTTGGGAGTGACCCTCCAGTCGTGTCGCCCGGCCGGTTGTGGATGAATCTAAGGTTTCGGCTGCAGGTTTAGGTGGTCGCAGCGGTGAAGTGGCAGGGCGCGGTAGGCTTTGGGCTTAGGCGAGCTATGGGGTTGGGCAGTTGATTTTCTTTTAAGGTTGTAAGTTGTAAGGGCAAACATCGCCGAGGGTAAGCCTTCAATCCCGCGAGTTCCACGTGGGCATGTTACAACAGTCCGACAAGTTTAGGACGCCGGCCTTCAAGCTCAAGATCTACACTTTAGGCAGAGCCTTGTTGCAATTCGGGTAAGTCCCTGTACTTGAGGTAGCTCTGCTTCTGGAAGCTCCCTTACGAAACCCAGAACCTAAGACGCTTTCCAAGAATGGATCCAGGGTTTTCTACCCCTAGCTGAAGCCACGTCCCTGCGGTTGTATTGTGAGACCGAAAGCAATCACAGGAGCTTGTGGTTAGGAGTTTTGGTCGTGCCTGACATGGAGCTTGTTCTACCTCATGTTTCCCTCGGAGACGCTTCGTTGTGCCGGGTGTTATACAAGTTACCCGAACCCTCGCCGCTTTGGTGCGAGCGTCTGTTAGTGTGACGAGCCGCCACGGTTGGGCCCCAACATCACAACAGCATCATCCGCCAGAAGTATCGGTTCTAGGCAAAATATTCTCGAAAAGCGTTTCCCCAAATGCATCCACGATTGAAAAGTCGGCGTCCCATGCAAAGCGCTAGGCTATTTATGCGGAAGGGGGCAAAGGGCTCTTGGTATGTTGTGTGACGTGAAGCCTCTCGTTCACTGCCCAAAGCCAGCAGCCAATTGTGTAAACTTTCACCCATCCAAGACCCTGACAGACAGCACGAAATCTTCGGCATGCCACATCTACGCACTGCGTCTGAGAGCGGTGCACAAATGACAAAGCCGTGCGTAGACGAATTGGACTGGAAGAACGTTTTCCCGTGTATGCTCCATTGCCTTCTCAAAGCCAAAGGCTCTGCGCGAGCGGATGGACGGGGAACGCTGCGAGCTCAGAACGAAAGTCTTCGGAAATAGGGTCACAGAGGCGACACTTTCAGTAGCCCCCGCCCTTCCCGCTAGAACTGTCACCAAACCAACGAGACCAGTACCGCCAACACCACTCACACCATTCCTGTCTGGCCCAACGTATCTGACGATAGTATGATAAATGATACACCTAGTCTGTTACACCCAACACCCAGTTCTATCTGCCTGTGTCCGTATAGGTATACATCGCAAGCAATCTGAGGTCGTAAAGCCGAGCTGTACCCAGGTCTCGGCTATTGCTTCGAACGTCGTGAAGTGGTCCCGTGCTGGGTGCCTAGTTTATGTGATTTCATGGTTTTAGCCTACGGTTTGACGGCACATTTACCACGACCACTCGGGGGCGTCTTGACCTGAAAGCCGCATCGCACCAAATCGAATATGAGAAGCAGGCAAAGGGCGCACTCGGTGACAAGCTCCCTTGCCTGGCATGGCCCTGACTGTCTCCTGCTTGTTCTCGGCTCTTGCGGCTGACTCGCCTCCCATCCCTGTTGATATTGTTGCTTGTTCATGCCGGAGGCTGCTGTCTTCCTGTTACTTGTCAGACGCCCCCACTACAACAGTCTCGCATGTTGTGGACTTTCCAAAAACATTTCAAACACGGATGCAAAACTCAAGCAAACAAGCTATAACCATGGGTGTTTACAACGCTTTCGCACAAATCACACTAGAAAACATAGCAGCAGCAACAACCAACCAACCAACCAACCAACCAACCAACCAACCAACCACCCACCCCAACCCAACCCAACCCAACCC